TGGCATCAGACATGGAGCACCAACCATAGAGCACCATGGCAAGAACAAGAGCATCGCAACCATCAAACTCATCACATGACGCGGGCCAGAGAGCACCGCCTGTAGAGCACGATGGCAAGAACGAAAACATCGTAACCATCAAATATACCATGTGGCATTAGGAATCGAGCGCCACATCTAGTGCACCAGGGTAAGATCAAGAACGTCGCAGCAGTTTTTCCCAAACACATGATTCAGAAACCCTCTGTGCAAACATTTCATGGGGAAGCAACGTGAGGAACCATTTTTAAAACATCGTGGGACCCTCCTGGCAGGTCTCTTGGAGCCCTCTCGGGTTGTCGCGAAGTTTTCTGGGGCAGTCACTCGAACATCTTGGATCGTCTTTGGGGCCGTCTTGGGGCATCGGCTTTCTGCCGATACGCCGTCTAGGCGTGCTATTTGCTCCTCTTTTTCTTCTGGGGGCACCTCGGGCCATCCTGGAGGCCTCCTGAGCCTTCCTGGACCAACTTGCAGCGCACCTCGGGCGACCTCGGCCGACCCGAGGGGGGGATCCTGGCCCGAGAGCGGCCGACGGCAGGGGGACGGTCCATGCCGCACGCGGCGCGACGGGCCGACGGGCCCGTGACAGCTTGCTGGAAGCGTCACGGACGAGGATGATGGGCAGCATGCATGAGGAGGAGGAGGAGGGCGGCATGAGGAGGAGGCGAGGAGGCGGGGAGCGTCATGGACGGAGGGCGGCATGAGGAGGAGGCGGGGAGCGTCATGAGGAGGATGAGGCGTCATGGACGGAGGGCGGCATGAGGAGGAGGCGAGGTGGCGGGGAGCCGCGAGCAGAGGAGCCAGGAGCGGAGGATCGGGACGATCGGAACGGGCAAGGGAGGAATGCGTACAGAGGCCGACCGCAGTTCCTGTTGTTTTTTGAAAAGGGCTCCCTGTCGGTGTCGCCGCGGGCTGTGTCCATTTGAGACAGAAGGCCGCCCGCCCAACAGCGGCCGCTGTTGGTTTCGGACAGCCTTTGTTGTTGAGCATCGTACCCATTTTTTGCATACCAATTCCGGGCGTCCACAGAGGCGGGCGAGTTGAGGCAACGGCAGCTGGCCTTCGGGAGCGCCCCTCGTCGCCACGGCAGCACCCCGAACACAGCCTGGAAGCCATGAGGGGGGAGTAACGATCCAACGCAACCCGGCCCTCCTCCTCCTCCTCCTCCTCCTCCTCCTCCTCCTCCTCCTCCTCCCTCTCCGTCCTGCTCCTCCCCCTCCCCCTCCTCCTCCTCCTTCTTCTTCTAACGCCTCCTCTCCCTCACTCTCTCGTGCCTTTTCGCCGGCGCCGCCACTGCCTAACGCATCGCTGGCTTCGCAGGCAGATACATATGCTGAAGCCGTGCTTGCGGTACTCAAGGTAAAGCAGCGCGTGCGCGGCCGGCCTCTTCCCTCGTCCAACTAATATACTGGTGCTGCCGCACATCCGTTTTCTGGATTATTCCGATACCCTAGCCAGCCACGGTCTGAGGTACACCATCCTCGATGCTTATCTTGGGACTACGACTAGAATATCCACATGATTATTCAGAACAGTTGTCCACCAACTAGAAGATCCCCATCAAGGGACAAACGAGGGAAATCGCTGGTTATCTACCGAAGGGTTCACCATGAGATCACGTGACCGTGTCACCTGTTTCGCACGGGCCAGTATTCTAAACCCTGGGAAAGCACTCGCGGGGAATGTATGTCTTTATTCATATCGAGGGCATGTCTTGGCACGTTTCAGAGGCGCCTTGGGCCGCCCTGAGGCCACCTTGGGCAGTTTTGGGGCCGTTTGGGGGGCCTTTGAGCTGTCATGGGGCGATAATCATTCTCGCCCATTATCGGATAATGGTCGTCTTCTTGCGGTGTGTGGCTGCTTTGGAGCCGAGTGGGGGCCAAAACGAACGCCGGGGGAGCACATTCAGAGGGGGGGATTTTCTGAGGACGGTCGCTGGAAGGGGTGGGAGTCGGCCCCAGAAAGCATTGAAGAAGCGTGGCGAAACAACATCGGCGCGTTCTAACAAGTCCACTCCGCAGGAGGAGGAGGAGGAGGAGGAGGAGGAGGAGGAGGAGGAGGAGGAGGAGGAGGAGCGCAGGCACGGTGGCGGATTCGCCCGCAGACATCTCAAACACCGGTGCGCTCGAGAAGGTGTATGCCGAGCTGTGGTCGCCAGAGCCGCGAGGGCCGCATACGAAAGCGATTGAACGGGTGCGCGACGTTGGCTTGATTATGTCGCAGCCGGAGCAACAGACGTTCACAAGCGACCTGTGGAGTTTTTTGCGATTGAGCGCGCCAAGGACGTCTATTGGCACTAGGGCCACCAACCGTGGCCTTCCGTTGATGGGTAGTAGGTTGACACATTTGTGGCTGTGTGGGGCCGTGGCCGTATCTGCAGCAACCCACGTCTCGAACTGTATTGTACAAAGGACGGTTTCAACAAGCTTGGGCGCGGCCTTGTTTCAACAAGCTTGGCCGCGGTCTCTCCTCGTTCCCCCTAGCCCCCCCCGAACTTTTTCATCCCGGGCGTTTCGCCGGGAACAGGTCACCATGAGCTCCCACACATGTGATGCAGAAAACGGATCAAAAACAATAGGGTTTACACATAAAAAACGCAAAGCCCCGAATCAGGTTCTTTTGTTTGGCAAGCTGGTCTTGGGGACGCTCTCCTCTCCCACCCCTCCTCCTCCCCTAATTTCCCTTGTTTCTCCTTTCCCATCCCCTCCTTGTGATACGTGTTACATGAAGTCATGATCATTTGGGGCTCTCCGAAGTCACGAGCGTGTGGCAGGGCAGTGTGATTCTCACCATTGCAGCTGTCCGAAGTCACGAACGTGTGGCAGGGCTAGGTCGTCGTCGTCGTCGTTTTCGTCGTCGTCGTCGTCTACGAGGTCTTCGTCGTCGTCGTCTTCGAGCGACGACGACGCCGGCCTCCTTTTTCTTCGTCATACATCCCATGTGCGACTTGCCGGGGCAAATTGTTTCAAATTCCCCTGGGACCCCTAACTTTGTGATCACCCGTGTGCAATTATCAGTGGTAGTTGGTCAATGATGTTTACGATGGTGATGCTGATGATGATGATGATGATGATGATGATGATGATGATGATGATGATGATGGTAGTGACGATTATGACGATGACGGCGCCGCCGACGACGAAGCCGACGACGACGACGAAGATGAATATGATAATGAACATGAAGATGAAGATGACAATGATGATGCAGATGACGATGGTGGTGATGCTGATGACGATCACGATGTTGCGATGACGGTGATGATGCTGGTGATAATGATGATGATGATAACGATGATGATGATGATGATGATGATGATGATGATGATGATGATGATGATGATGATGATGGTGGTGATAATTATGATGGTGCTGGTGATGATGCTGATTGTGATTATGATGACGCTACAGATGTCGACGCTGCTGACGACGACGCCGACGACGACGATGGTGATGATGATGATGCTCAGAAGAATGATGATGCTGATGATGGTGCTGACGATGCTGATGATGCTGGTACTGATTATGATGTTGCTGATGACGATGATGTTGCTGATGATACGGATGATGATACTGCTGATGATAATGCCGATGATGTTGATGTTGCTGATGCTGCTGATGATGCTGCTGATGCTGAGGACTGTGGTGATGACGAGAAGGACGTTGCGGACAAGGAGGGAGGTCGAGGATGTTGATGAGGAGGATGAGGGGGGAGGAGAGGTCGGAAAAGACGAGGACGAGGAGGAGGCGGAGGCGCTGGAGGGGCTTGGCCTAATGTTCTTCTGAGTCCAGTTATCTTCCCAGTCTTCAACTGGACGGTGGCCCAGCATCTGGCCCAAGTCCCAGTGCGTCTCCCTGACCTGACGGCGGTGCTGGCAGACACATCTCGGACCGATTGCAGTGCTGGCGTAGTCGCAGTGCCCACAGGGCCAGCGACATGATATAAGATGCGACGCTGGCTGGAGCGGCTCTGGTTCTTGCCATGTTCCTTCCCCCTCCGCCGAAGTTCGGCGTTCCTCTGGAAACCATGGATGATGATTACGATGCTGATACAGATGATGATGATGATGATGATGATGATGATGATGATGCTGCTGCTGCTGATGATGATGATGATGATGCTGATGCTGATGATCATGATGACAATGCCGATGCTGCTGCTGCTGCTGATGATGATGATGATGAGGAGGATGAGGGTGAGAATGAGGATGCTGATGCTGATGATTATGATGATTATGATGCGGATGATGATGCGGATGATGAGGAGGATGAGGATGATATTGGTGTTGGTGATGATGATGCTGGTGGTACTGATGCTGAGGATGATGCAGGTGCTGATAATGATGAACATGATGATGCTGATGATGATGGTGATGTTGGTGATGCTGGTGATGAAGTGGATGGTGGGCTGTAATGCGAGGCGGGGATGATGATGATGATGAGATGATGATGATGATGATGATGATGATGATGATGATGATGATGATGATGATGATGATGATGATGATGATGATGGTGCTGATGATGATGCTGATGATGATGACGATGATGATGGTGATGAGGATTATGCTTATTATATAGATGATGCTGCGGATTATGATGACGATAATGATAAATGATAATGATGATGATGCTGATGATGATGATGATGATGATGATGCTGATGATGATGATTGTGACGATGATGCTGCTGCTGCTGCTGATGATGATGATGATGATGATGATGATGATGATGATGATGATGATGATGATGATGATGATGATGATAACTACGGTGATGAGTTTGATGATGAGGACAGTGGTTGGGAGAGATGCAGCATGGCAACCCGATCAAGTCGATTGATACGTTCATGCCCGCCCCACCGACAGCCAGAAGTAGGAAAAGGCCCCCGCTCGAGTTGCCGAGGCACCAAACTGGAGAAGGAGGAGAGCAACTCGGTGCACCAGTTCAAGATGCTGATTCAGGCCTGGGGAGGAAGAGGGAAGAGAGAGGGAGGGAGGGAGGGAGGGGGGGGGAAGGGAGGGGGGGCAGGAGGAGGGGGAGGAGGCGGAGAAGGAGGAGGAGGAGGAGGTGGCGGAGGAGGAAAAGGGAGGAGGACCACAGTGAAGCCAGTATGCATCAACCACGTTGTGATACATCCCCCCGTTCAACGTACCCACCCCCAACGACTCCCTACAATCACTACTCTCTCTTTACCGGCTGAAGCGCCCACGTGAATGATGATTGTCCCATTGGCCTCAAGTGTTGACGCTTGGTGCGTGTTCTGGTGGTGACGACAGGCCAGATATTCCCATGGCGGCCGACACAGACAGGTCTCAGGGTTCAGCGGACGACTCACGCATGGGCCACCATGACCCGCCCGACGACGACAGCGGTGAAGGCGCGGAAGACGGGCTCCCCCTTCACAAGATGGAGCCCGACTACGAAGAGGATGGACCTGCCCGTCCTCCCACGCCTTCTGAGTCGGCCCAGGAGGGTGATGAGAATCGCTCAGGCGGAGATGGCCCGCAGCGTAGCCCGTCGGCGGGCAGCTCCGACACCAGCCGCGAGGACACCGCGACTTCAGTCACAGAGGGCACGCCCTACGCCGATCGCGGGAGGGCTCCAGCTCGAAACCCCGCGAGGCACGAAAGGACCAGCGACGGTGGCACCTCGCGGTACGAGCGCCTTCCCGCGCCCACCCTGACGCCCCCTGAGCGGAGGCCCCACTACTCTCGCCACACTGGCTCTTCGGAGCAGGACGCACTCAACACGCTGTCCTGCCCTGATGGAGGCGGCCCAATGTACAAAGTGAGGCTGGGCACCGTCGAGCTCGAGCGTCCCGACGAGGCACCAGCCAGTTGCATATCCAGGCTTCAGTCGCAGCTGGGAGCAGTCTTTTGCGCACTGTGGACAGCGAACACGCAGCGTACTCTGCCCCCTGGATGGAGGGCGCCCAAGTCCGACCCGAAATTACACACGCCCGCGGATATCATCAACTTCCTAGAGGCCTGGAAGGACTGCGGGTACGACGCCTACGAGATGGACAGGAGACTGGGCTATGGTATCGACTGGAACAAGATACGAGCCAACTACCTGCGGCACTCCCAGACAGACGACTGGAGCAAAGGCGGCTTTCGCCACACGGGCTGGCGCGACCGTGCGACAAGTTCCTGGGACACCTGGAGCAGTTGGCAGGGCGAGTGGCGCGACGGATGGCGTGAGGATCACTGGCTGGCGGGTGGCAAGCGCGGCGGAGGTTACCCTGATGATCGGGATGATCGAGATGAAAAGAGGCTCCGCTGGAAAGACTGAACTACCTCTCTGCCCTCACCGCCCCCCAGTGCCCGCCCCACCGCCTGCGCTTCACGACGCACCACCGCGGCCCGCCGCCGCCCTTTCCCTCAACCTGGGGCGGCCCTGCCCCCCCCCTCCCTGAGCGGCACCCTCTCTCACCCGTTGCCTTGGGGTGTCGTTCGGTAATGCCGTCTGCTCCGTGCGTGACGCCACGCATCCTGCAAACCACTTGCCACTGGCATCACTGCCTTCTCCACCGGTGGCCGACGCCCTCTTGTCACTCGGCTCCTCGCTCCCCGCCATGTTTCACTTCCTGAATCCCAGCGGACGCTGCCCAGGCCGCGCCGCTGGCCCCTAATCGCGGCGCTCTGCCGCCCTCCGTCCGTTGCGCGCACCTCCTGCCTTTGGATCCAGGTGTGCGCTTCGGCAACACCGTCCACCGCCTCTCCGCAGTGGACTCGCGGCCCAAGGCCCTACTGTAGCTGTCTCACCGCCAGGCCTTCCTGGCCTATCAGTGGGCCACCGCCGCTTGACCACTGGCTTCCCCCTGGACTTTCTAACCGAACGATCGGCCTTCCGCCGTCACCCTGGACCTTTCAAACAAGAAGGACGGCCTTCCGCCGTCACCCTGGATCCGTTGGCTCTGTGGGACACGTCTCGGGTACAAAACGTCCTCGTCCCTCTGTGCTAGACGACTCGGATGGGTATCGCTGGGCCTCCTTTGATGTGCACACTCCTAGGGGTCTGCCGTGCACCGTGCCATTCCTGACCTTCCACTCGTCGGATCTGGGCTGTCGCATCTCAGGTGTGGATGTTCTGTCTAGTCATCACTCTCCACACCCGGGATGCGCTTCTCACGTTGCGACTGGCTCGCCACCTGCTCTTCAGTTGCTACCTGTCCCCAGTCGGCCTGTGGTACCCTACAGGCTCCATGGATCGGTGCCCTCTGGACGTAATTGCTGGACGGCTTCCTACCGCGACCTTGGATCAGTGGCTTTGTGGGACTTGCCTGGGTATACACAGTCTCGTTCTGCCTGTGCTCTCCGCCTCATTGGACTGCACTGTGACACTGTGCCGTGCACACGCCGCGTTTCGACGGGAGCGTGCATTCGGTGCCCTTCCACCCGTTGGGCCTGGGCCGATACGTCTTGGTGTGGTTGTCTTTTCGGAACATGGATACACCTTGATGTCGCTGACGCCGCGGCTCGCTGCCGCCGTCGGGATCCTCGTTGGACTTGCCACCCCGACCTCTGTGTTACCCGACAGGCTGGGGCTGGCGTCCTCGGCCGTTCCCTTGTTCGCTCTTGGACGTTGGAACGTTTTCGCGCCATTTTGGCTGCGATTGGTGGTCTCGGTGCCTACCTCAGGCCTGTTGGACGCACCTGCATGCCCGTTCAGGGGCTGTCATGGCACCTGGACTGCATCGTCTTCCCTGGACGCTGTCGTGAGCCTCCTGATCCGCGGCCCTGCGCGCGTTAGGTAATTTAGTCGCGTCCGCGGCCCGTGCGCGACCTTCCGCCGCTGGCGCTTCCGCCTGCGGCTGTAAAAAAAAATATCACCACCAGCCCATCCAGAATCGACCGGAGGCTTTCTTGAGGACTCTCGGGGGGCTATCTTGGGCCATCGTGGGCTAGAGGCTCTCACAGGCTATCTTGAGCCATGCAGCTTTCTTCGGCCATGTTGAGGCTGTCGTGAGGCCTCTTGGAGGTCTGTCGGAGGCTATCTTGAGCCTACTGGAACCATCCTGGGGGATGAGGAGGAGGAAGAGCAGGAGGAGCAGGAGGAGGAGGAGGAGGAGGGAAGAAGAGGAGGAGGGAGGATGGATGATGATGATGAGGAGGAGGAGGAGGAGGAGAAGGCGGAGGCGGAGGCGGAGGAGGAGGAGGAGGAGGAGGAGGAGGAGGAGGAGGAGGGAAGAAGAGGAGGAGGAGGATGATGATGAGGAGGAGGAGAGAGAGAATAATGAGGAGGAGGAAGAGAGAATAATGAGGAGGAGAAGAGGAGGAGGAGGAGGAGGAAGAGGAGGAGGAAGGTGGAGGAGGGGGCAAAAGAGGAGGATGAGGAAGAGGAGGAGGAGGGGGATTAGGAGGAATACGGCACGAGGAAGATGATGATGAGGAGGAGGAGGAGGAGGAGAAGGAGGAGGAGGAGGAAGAGGGGGAGGAGGAGGATGATGATGAGGATGAGGATGAGGATGAGTATGATGTTAGGAGGAGGAGGAGGAGGAAGAAGAGGATGAGTAGGGGGGAGGGAGGAGGCAGGAAAAGGGACATCTTGAGGCTGCCTTGAGGCCTTTTGGAGGTCTGTCGGAGGCTATCTTGAGCCATGCTCAACTTCTTGGGAACATCATGGCGGTAGGATGAGGAATAGGAACAGGAGGAGGAGGAGGAGGAGGAGGAGGAGGAGGAGGAGGAGGAAAAGGAGGAGAACGAGGAGTCGCCACTTCCTCTCGAATGAGGAAGATCTGGGCGACCACGGCGGCCCCCAACGGGCCTTGGATTTCGTCGGGGTCGTGAGACGCCTGCCGCCGCGGGATGGGAGGCGCTGACCCTGCGCTGGCCCTCTGAGGCCTCCGCGCCGCCCCGCGCCATGGCCTCCGCGAGGCTCGTGGTGGCGCGTGCGGCTGCCGCTTTCTGGATGCTCGCGCTGGGCCTCTACAGCCCGCAGAGCTTGCCTGCCTGGCGGGAGGAGCTCGTGAGCGAGGCGCTGCAGAACTTCGATGTGGTGGTGCTGCCTGGTACGCAGCAGCGCCAGAGGGATGACGCGATCCCCGTCACGGCCATCCGCACGATGAGGCACGTGGCCTTTGGCTGGGGCTGGCGCCGTGGACGGTTCACTAACAAAACTTGCGGTATCACGATCATGATTGGCAGGCGCGTTCGACGCAACCATGTTCGCCAAGTACTCAGCCCGCCGCCGAAGCTTGGCATCACTGGACGGGCGGGAGGTATCAAGCTGGCGACGGCGCGGATTCCGATGCTCGTCTTTGGGGTGTACCTCGCGCCTTCTGGGACCCAGGAGGAGCGCACGGAGGCCATGCAGCGCATCCTAGGTTGGATCACTGGCGAGGTGGCGAAGGCAGGCAACAGGTACCTGGTGGTGATCGCTGGGGATTTCAACGAGCAGCTGGGCTTCAATGACATAGACGAGGTGGCTGGACGGCATGGGCGGCATCGGCGATCAAGACAAGTTGAACAATTACGATGGTGGGCGGCTACAAACTACCTTACCGCTGCCAACACGCACTTCCGCCTGCCCGCCAGCTACTACGGGTCGGAGACGACCAGCTGGATCGATCATGTGTTCGTCCCGTCCACGGCCATGGGGTTCGTGCCAATGATCAGGATGCGCCCCGATTTGATGCGCACGCTCTCACCATTCCCGACGGCTGAGCTTCGCGACCACTGCCCGATGGAGGTCCACATCACTTACGAGCTGAGCTACTCGCCGCTGCGGGGCGCCACGGAGAGGGTGGACCGGGACTCCCTCATGAGGTGCTTGACGAAGGGCGAGCGGAGACACGAGTTCTGCGAGAAGGTTGAGTCTAACCTGAGCGCTGTTGAGGCCGAGTGGAACCGCTCCGGCTCCGACCCTACTCCTGAGACCAAACGCCAGCTCTTCACGAAGGCGATCCGTGACGCCACGATCTCGGTCTTCCCGTCCGCGAGGAGGCTGGGCATGGAGTACG